GCCGACGGTGGTGAGGGCGTTGACGTTTACGTCATCGACACCGGCACAAACACCAAGCATGTTGACTTTGAGGGTCGTGCTAAGTGGGGCAAGACCATCCCCAACGGCGATGCTGACGAGGATGGCAACGGCCACGGCACCCACTGCTCCGGCACTGTCGCCGGTAAGAAGTACGGTGTCGCCAAGAAGGCGCACGTCTACGCCGTCAAGGTCCTCCGCTCCAACGGCTCCGGCACCATGTCCGACGTCGTCAAGGGTGTTGAGTACGCTGCCAAGTCTCACTCCGAGACTGTCAAGGCCGCCAAGGACGGCAAGAAGAAGGGCTTCAAGGGAAGCGCCGCCAACATGAGCTTGGGAGGTGGCAAGTCCACTACCCTCGACCTCGCTGTCAACGCTGCCGTTGACGCTGGAATCCACTTTGCCGTCGCTGCCGGTAACGACAACGCCGACTCCTGCAACTACTCCCCAGCTGCTGCTGAGAAGGCCGTCACCGTCGGTGCCTCCACTCTCCTCGATGAGCGTGCTTACTTCTCCAACTACGGAAAGTGCAACGACATCTTCGCCCCTGGTCTCAACATCCTCTCCACCTGGATCGGCTCTGAGCACGCCACCAACACCATCTCTGGAACCTCAATGGCCTCTCCCCACATTGCTGGTCTCCTCGCCTACATGCTGTCTCTTCAGCCTAGCAAGGACTCTGCCTACGCTGTCGCCGACATCACCCCCAAGAAGCTCAAGGAGAACCTCATCTCCGTCGCCACCGTCGGTGCTCTCTCTGATGTCCCAAGCAACACCAAGAACGTCCTCGCCTGGAACGGTGGTGGCTCTTCCAACTACACCGAGATTGTTGAGAAGGGTGGCTACTCTGTCAAGAAGGCTGCAGAGAAGGAGGAGGAGTCCGAGTTCACCATCACCATCCCTTCTCTCTCCGAGATCGAGGGTGACTTTGAGAGCGCTAAGGAGTCTGCCAGCCGCACCGCTCACCGCGCCGGAGGCAAGCTCCAGCACCTTGAGCAAGAGATCGAGGACTTCATCGCCGAGGAGATGGAGTCTATGTTCGAGAAGGTTAAGGAACGCGTCGCTAGCCAGTAAATGTGACATGATATGATCGTTAATATGACCCAAGAGGGTCTACTGATATATGGAATGGCATGGGTTCGGTATCGGCGTCTGGATTTCTTACATGGAGCATGTGTCTCCCATCTCATTGGGCACAAGTTGATGTACTGTACGTTACTCTTGATATGGAACGCAATGTGAGGTAGATTAAATATCTGGAATGGATCTATCTTTCCTCCACCAATGTTTGCTCCCTTTGTTCGTTTGACTCCACAGAGCCCGATGTATTGATGAAGCAATCAATCGCCTGTTTGTTTCTCCTTAGCTGTACATGATCTCTACATCGGCTTTAGGCCTGCCTTTTCTTCCGCTAAGCATCTGAGAACACCATGCGCGAAGCCTGTATGATTAGAGAGCAGAGTCGCGATGCCTGGTTTGTTGAGTAACTCGATATGCGCTACGATGGTCTGGCAGAGCAGTTGTCGCAGGCCGGTGTTACTGTCTGGAGTTGTAGTAAGGGCATGCTCAGCGGCCGTGACGAATCCTTCGGTATCCCAAAAAGCTTCACACGAGCGGGCGAACTTCTCCTTCGCAAGCACTGACAATCCAGGAGTATCGTACTTGTCCGCCACCTCATACATCATCGCGTGCAGAAGAAGTTGGGCTGCGTCGCCTTCGGATAGTTGAGCCGTGATGCATTGCTTGCAAATGAAGTTGACGCATGTTTCCTTACAAGTCCCGCTCACGCAAGAATGGTGCTGACACACAAGATGATGAGGATTTGGGCAACCAGGCGCACAAGTATGAGGAAACAGGTAGTGGTAGCCACGTTGTCGATCCGCGATAGGCAAATTGGCAGACTCAAAAGTTCGAATCAACTCGTTCAGCTCTGGGGTATATTCGCATTCGTAGAAGTACTGGACGAGAAGTTTCACTGCGTGCGGATCGTCCTCGGGTAAGTCGACTTTCCCCTCTGCAGCTTCCTGCATAAAAGCTAGTTAGGAGATGAACGTCTCTGTATATGCTTCTGGCCGGACGTACCTTGCCTACAGCGAACCTCACAGCCTTTTTGAAGAACGACGACTGAGGGCATACAACGGCTTTGTGCACGTTGTAAACATCTGAACCGCAGGTGATGATCAGATCCGAGTAATCGCCTGATGAGAGTAGACTGAGAGCGCATATTAGCAAAACGAAGCCTTTACCGATGAGAATCTACTCACGCTTTTGTACGAGCCAGAAGCTCGTCGCAGGCGTTGTCCATAGTGTTGTGGTTGAGTGCGAATCGATATTCAGTCGACTGTGTGTCGCTATGCTGGCAGAAATATGTGCAAGAGAAAACCCTAGCGAGAGCAGAGCACAGACGTTAGACTAGGACGGTTTCGAGAGTGAAAGTGAAGGTGAAGATTCCAATCTGAGGGTACGAAATCCAGACGCTGGCCGAAGCCAGCCGTGAACATCTGTACCCTGTATTGAGTAATTATAGAATGCAGCATGCATCTTTTCGGTGCAGCGACTCCTAGTATCTAGCCAACATGTAACTTTTCACGGACGACAGTCTTCCTTCTTCACGTTCTCATGTACTTCACTCACGCTCGTAACGTGACCCTGACTGGCAACCCATCCACCGGATGAGCTCCACCACCCCCCATCTCAGCCTGATACGCTCGGTTTCCATCAACAGTCTTGATACCCTTCCTCGGATGCAATCTGTCCCATTCCTCATACGCCGGAGTGATATCGAACATCCTCACAGTCATGACTAATGCGATCTTGAGTTCCAACTGCGCAAGTGTCTGCCCGATGCATGCACGGGGACCCCACTCAAAAGCTCTCCACGAAGCTTTCTTCGGGTACAACGGGTCTTCAGGATCGACTAGCCAGCGATCAGGAATGAAGTCTTCTGGCTGCACAAATACTTCGGGGTTATGGTGCAAAGCTAAGGTGAGGGTCCAGATATTACAGCCTTCTGTTGGGTATTGTTGGCCCTGCTCATCTGATAGGAAGACATCTGGACGGCCATCGCGCATGCTGCCGGCAGGAGGGAAGATGCGTAGAACCTCTTTGATGACGGCCAAGGTATAAGGTAGCTGGTTCAGTAGTGAGGGGTCGTCCGCAATAGTCCGAGTGATGGTGTCGAGCGAGAAGTCTGACCCGAATACTTTGTCATGTTCTGCACGGACTTTAGATAAGGCCTCTTGGTGACGCGAGAGGAGTATGTAGCTGTACAATAGTGTGCTACTCGTAGTGTCATGACCAGCGTAAAGGAACAACCGAAGTTGAGGTTTCGCGAGCTGCTTGAAGACCGATTCTGATATCTCATCTTTGTCTTCTACATCTTCGAGATACTTGTCCATGGCCAACGCAATGATAGATCTCGACTGTTTGCGGGAAACACCAGACGAGTCTTTGCGGGAGCTGGCCAGCTCTTCAAAGCGCTTGTCGATTTCCTCATCGAGGTATCGGTTCATACGGTAATTGTTGTACTTTTGAACAAACGGGCGAGGACTGAGATAGCGACGGAACGGGTTGAATGTTGTGCCGAACGATGTCCAGTAGACTTGTCTTCGGAGACAATCTGCGAGCGCGCTTCCTTGGGTTTGGTAGTATAGGCGTGAGCCACTGTGTCCGATGTTCAGCAGTTGCCCAATGTTGCAAGCGTACTGAATGGTGAACTTACAGGGTAACACGTGCAATAATGTCGAATGTTAGCCGAAGAGTATACTCTTCCAAAGGAAAGACTTCGTTTTTCTTTGCGCGTTCTTGGAGAAGTTTGCAGAAAGTTGAGACTTCCTCGGCGATCGCAGGTGAAAGTCCTGTGATGTAGCCAGCAGCAAATCCTGGATTAAAGAGCGCTCGCCATTTCTTCCACGTGCTTCCCTCCATTGTCAGTAGAGACGGACCGCCATTGATGACCTCCAAGGTAGCATTTATGTTGGGTGGCTTGTTGAGGAAAGCAGCTTCTACTTGCGATGCAACATACGGGTTTGCGACCACCATGAGAGGAGCGTTGAAAGGCCATAGGTTGAGATAGAAGACGCCGCCGGGGAATGACTCTGATATCCGCCGTACTACCACATGCATTACAGTGTTGCGAGGCAAGTCCTGAATGGTTGCTTTCAACACGATGAGATGACCGAACAGAGGATGGTATTTTGGCATAGGCTGGCTATTATTAGAAGTACGTCCGCGGTATATCGAAGAGTCGACTTACTGCACCTGACTTTTGTAGCCTCTTGATGTGTTGCCGATTAGCCATTAAGCTGGCTACAAACATGACCAAGGCTCCGGCGGCAACAGCCATAACGGCTGGCATGCTGACCCGCGTCATGCTTACTCACGTTTCGTGCAACAAAGATTGCCGAAGGCGGCACAAAAGCACGAGTAGATGAGCTCGATTTCGCGAGTGTTGATGTTGAAATGCCGCCGAAGGTGCAAGGCGCACGAGGAAGTAGCCTTGGGGGCGGCACGGGTAGGGCGCTAGCCCTATTTGGGCATCATGCATGTCAGCACTATCTATAGCACAAACACCGCAGTCTTGTACTACAATGCCATGCACCCCGACAGCTGAAATGATTTTACCCATGCCGTGTAATAGCATGCTACCGCGCCGTCGGTTTCTTGGGGATGTTGTGATTCGTGCTTCATTACCCGACGCCGACCGGTCATAGCCCCCACACGCAACAGCTCCGGGCTGTCACCATCATCCAGCACACGAAGCCGCGACTCCAATGATTAGCGCAAGAGATGAGCAGGCAATTATCTGTTCTGAATGCAATTACTATTTCCAAGTTTTCTCAGCCCCAAGCCTCTATGCAGTCGCCTGTGATCCCACGTCTTGCGATGTGCTTATTATGTCTCGACGGCCCGCCTGAAGTTCTGTAGCTATATCGTCCAGTCTTCTCACCGAGATCTCATCCTACCAAAGTATCTCTCCAGTCATGTCGATTGATCCATCGAAACTGCCACCCGCGCAATACGTGCCTGGCAGACAGTACGCCATCGAACATGCTGGTAGAATTGACAAGGCGCCATTCGTGGTATGCACTCCCTGTACTGGCCGATATTTCCAATACTGACGAATACCTCAGATCTCAACTGGACTCCTTTTTGGACTTGCCATTCTTTCTGTATTCGTGCGCTTCGCGATTCGCATCTTTGGAGGCCGAAAAATACGATGGGACGATGGACTCGTCTTGGTGTCGTCGCTGTGCTTAACAGTAGCGTTCGCCTGCGTCCACAAGGCTCTTAATCCTTTCTATCTCGTCGAGGCCATAAACCAAAGGAAGACAATCCCATTCCGAGAGGACATTCCTGCGATCTTGGACATCCCCAAGTGGGCGTTCATATTCTCCATCTTCGGATGGAATTCCATTTATCTAGTCAAATTTGCTTTCATGTACTTCTTCTATGGGCTAACCACTGCATTATCCATCAAAGTCATACGGTTTTTCTGGATCACCGTTGGCTTTCTTGTCATTGCTTGGATCTATGCCGTAGTCAACTTTGTCGTCATATGTGCACACTTTGGTGCAGACGCAGGTCAGTCAATGTTTTGTCCATTATTAAGACCCGAAGTACTGAGCTTGTACAGCTAAATGCGGCGATGCCCAGATGCATAAGAGAAGTGTCGCGGGTAACGTGATCGTTGGCATCCTTGACATCATAGGCGATATTCTCAGTAAGTCACACAGCTTGAAACTCCATTACCCCGGTTCAAAGGCTCATTATTTCTAGTTGTTACTGTTCCCATTGTCGTCGTAAACCAGTCGATGATGTCATTTTCTCGGAAACTATCGATCGTGGCCTTGTTGGGTCTCTCGGCAGTAATGGTTGTTTGCGCATTGATACGGGTGGTTGGCTCGTTGACCGAAACAACAGCGGCGGCATTCGGAACTGCACCGGTGTGGGCTGCGTATTGGTTCATGGTCGAATCCTGCGTCGCGCTCATAATGGCGTCCGTCATTGTTATCCGCGGAGTCTTCATCACCAACCCTGTCGATGACGACCGACGAAAGCAGGATAGTGTATTCCAGCGATTTGGGCACCGTATACTGTCGGTGCTAAGGCTCTCCAGATCCTCAAGAAGCAGCGGGCGGAGTCCCCAGCGAAGCGACGCGCTCCAGGGCAAGCACGAGGATCCAAGCGCGCCGAGGATCGCCACCCAGAGACCGCTAGGAGGAACATTGAATACCGTCAGGACTTTCATCTGGGGTGGTAAGAGGCAAAGTCCACCTGCATCGCAAGATGATCCGCTGGTGTCAGTAAACACAACCTCTGATCTTGGGGATATGGACTACCACAACATCCGGAAGGCAGAGGTGGCGAGACATAAGCCAGAGATGACCTTTGTTTGATGAGCGATGGTGGTTGGAAGCGAAAGGCACGTCTGTCGCGCATCAACAAAGTTGTCAGACTGTATTTAGGTACTCACTACCAGTCGCCTTTGGAGTTGTTCGAGATGTAATTAATGATTATGTATTGAGTCCTTCGCCATGGCGTTCGTGGTGACTTCGCCCCTGAAGGGCCCGCGGGCCGATTTGAGGATGTTAGCGTTGGCGCGACAGCGTCATCCCACTGTTACCTCCCTCCAGTGCCTCAAAGTCGCGTTCAACTGCACATGTGCGTCGGGAGGTCACCAGTGTTCACAGCAATATAGACACACTGCTATGCGTGCACGTTCAATAAATGAGCCGGTAAGGCTGTATGCCATCTGCACATGTGGTGGCGGAGTGCCACAGCCCACAGCCCACAGCCCCTCAACCAACATCTGTGCTGCACGCGATGCACAGCTCACCACTCCGATAACAACCATCATCACCACCACTACCGCCGCCGCCGCGATGGATAGAATCGGACACAAAAGCGCAAGCGATATCCTGTCCCTAAGGATCGTAATCTGCCGATGCACAAGACTTGCGTAGACCGTTGTCTGACCGAAAACGTTGGGCAATGGGCCCCAGTGCGACCAACAAGGCGGTGCTGCAGTCAGCAGAAGGACGTCTAAGCACTACGCCCAGTCTGCCTACAGATGATGTGCATGAAGAAACGCGCGGTCTTGTTTTATCTATGACTTTATCAAGGCCCTGGTTCCCAGTGCTGTTGACAGTCTTACACCTACATCGGATGCACAATCCTGCACATACTTTTTCGCGAAAGGCGAGTACTCATCTTTCCGCTTCTACAATGGTACTAAACCCCTCAAACATCGGGTCCACGCTCTGCATAGGAATATCACGCTTTTGGACGACCTGCTGCGAAAGTCATCGGCAAGCAGCTGGAGACATTCGTAAACAATGGCGCTGGCTTGGACCGTGGCTACTTTTCGTAGTTGGAATGGTCACGTTGTTACTTTGTTTGGCATGGTTGTCATATCTCACTTCCAAGGCCCCCGTTGAACTAGACGCTTGTTTGCCCGATGGTGCCTTCACAGTGGATCCATCACATTTTCGATATCTGAGCAGCTCGAGCTTTTTTCAGATTAATTTGGGATGGGGTCATATGACTTTCACACAAGTGAAGGCTATAGACATCAGCTGGGATATCGTGAGTGCCGCCATACCCCAGGCCAGGCAGCTAAGTGTATGGTCCAAAAACGTGAGAGCTAACTACCCTCAAGCTACTAGGACGTGGTGGTCAGGCGCTCATCGCGTATATATCGTGGCGCGTCTTCGCCAAATACGTGACGACATCCATGGAACTTACACCAGTTACGTTCGGAACATATCGGACAATCTTCTTACCAAGCGGCGGCTTTTTCCTTGCTATCATCTATACGATTCGAGATTTTGTGACACGTCACGGCTTGCATTCCAGGATAGCCATGGTCTTCATGGTGTATACCATGGTATTGACATTCATGTATCCGACCCTCGCCAGTGCAATGACTGGTTACAGCGCGAACGTTGAAGCATTTGTTAACACCACCGAAGGCGATTACATTCGCTTCAGCTCCTTCGCCTTCGCCTACTTCGTTATACATGACGGTTGGCGTGTGCAGCTGGATGGCGACCATGGTGTCACCTCAAGCACTGCCCGAAACATAGGTAATGAAATCATGATATTGAGGAGCTTTCGGAATCTGACTGGGCTCGAGTAGATTTTCCTGGTCATCAGCCAGTGATTTCTTCAACTGAGACAATCAGCTCGAACTTTAACTTCTGCTACGGAGCTACCGGGATTGACAGCAGTACTCCTGGAGTCTGCGATTTGCTGTACAATGTGTCTAGGTGTAAGCTAAGCTACCTAAAGGAGCACGTATGTTGCTGATATACGAGAAGATACTGCAGACTACGGTCTGAACGGCGAAAATCTTACGAACTCGACTTTCGCGGGCATCAATCTACCACCTCCTGTCCTGAACATCTCAGCTCCATCTCTGCAAGAAGGCAGTGGTGTCTATCATACAGAGCAAGCATTCAGTGTAACTTCCAATAAGTCGTCACTGTTATGGGCATATAACAACAGAACGTACCATTATGACTACATGCGGAACAATGGAATGTGTCAAGCTGTATCGGTAAGTCATCTTACGCGAAGCCCCCTTCTTCCGACTAACTCGTGCAGGACTATAAGTGGGGGTTTTCTTATGTTCAATTATTCATCATGGTAATCCTCATGATAGTCTGGACTTCAGGGCTCTACATCATGTGGCTCAGAGCCTATATGGTCATGCAAAAACGAGGGCGAGAGAAAGAAAACGTTGCAGGAGAATACAAGGCTGTATTAGAACTTGCATCTACCATGCGAGAACAAACGACTGGACTCGTAAGCGAGGAAGGTGATGAAGTCCTTACGGTTACCGAAGCTAAGCTGCGTCGACGCATCGAGAAAGACTTGCGTGGAGGATCCATCTCCTACTCTGCGCCACTCGTCCTCCAAAACAAGAAAAATCGACAATGGGATATCAGGACATGGGTTGAGAGCCACAAGCTTTCAATCATTGCCATGGTTGCCTGTATCCAGGCGACGCTATTCAGTGCCATATCTCTGCCACGAAATGGCATCTTCCTTATCCCTTTACCGTTGGAGTTGATTCTCGCTCTACACATTGGGTCAACTAGGGGTTGTCGCATCGTCCTATTCATTTGGTTATTCCTGATCATCACCATTTCAACCCAGACCGCTCTATACATGACACGCCCATCATACGATCAGTTTACTCTGAGTGAGTTAATTGATACCATTCCGAAACTTAGGTCATACGGGCTTGATTTAGGAGTCTGGCTAGACTCGGGACTCTAAGAAAGAACAATCTTCATGTTCGGGCAATACAATGTCAAATAATGTCAGATCAAGCCTGTGCAAGACGACTACGTAGTGATAGCTATTAAAGGTTCACGGAAACTCTATAGATATCGAGTTTTTTCGTAGTAACAACGGTGGGCACTTTCCGCAATGGACCACACCTGGGCATAGCGAGGACCTCGGACGGCTAGTCTGATCATAGGCGCACATACTGTAGCATTTATATCGCCACCGCCCTTCGATAGTGGTCTTGCGGTCGATATGTCTCACACTTACAAAAAGCGTATCGAAGGCGGTCGAGACATTTCAAGGATTCCACCTGCAGCAACATCTTGGCTTTCTGACCGTCGGTTACGGCTATTTCCTATGCACATCAACCACGGTATCTTTCAATAGTTGTTCGTCCAGAGTAAGTTTGCATTGAATGTCTCAAATGTTTACCGCGCCTCAGAAATATCACAACCATCACTCCGAGCCAGCGCATCACTATCCTAAGATCCCCTAACTTACCCGATTTTGTCGCAACACTTCATACTTCGGTCATAGACTTTCATGCATTCATCATGTAGCCCACGTATAAAAGCACAGAGCTACCCTGCACCTTTACCACATCAACAAAGCCAACTCATTCTCCACTACATCTCTTAGCTACTTTCCACGATACAAAACACCAAAGCACCACCACCCAGTAAATCTACCCAAGCTCAAATCTCTATCAAAACCAACCATGTACCCCCGCTTTACCCCTGAAGAATGGGCCCAACACAACCCCTACGCATACAGGCGCGGCGTCTCCCCACCACGCAATCGCCACGAGGAGCCACGTCGCGGATACCGCTCAGACGACTACCGCAGCGTTAGCCCTTCTTACTCAACGGAACTACGGAGGAGACCGCGCGTTAACTCCAACCGCGGACCGCGTATGCATGCTAGCTTGGGTGATCCGTATTCGTTCGGCCAACCCGGATGGGGTGTGAACATGCCTGGAGGGTATTGGTTTGGTGAGGATAATGAGTGGTAGGGGTGATGAAATGAGGAAATTGAGGAAGGCGCTGAGATGAGGGTTATGGAAGATGATGATGGACTTTTCATATCGGTGGTCTGGTTTTTGGAGAGTTTGGGGTGGAAATGAAGCTATGTCTTGCCCGTAGCTAATATCGTGCACCATATGACCCTTCTTCATCCATTTCCACTTCTCCAACGCGTCTAACACCCCTCCTCAAACTCCCGCCTCGCAGCCGCATACCACTTATCCTTCATCACCCACAGCGGACTCGGCACACGATACCATCTAGAAATCGTGACTCTGAAATTGTCCAACAGCGCCCCTTTGAAGATCTTCTCAGCATCCGGAGTCGTTTTTATCGCTGGTATCATACATGTAGCGATTACCCACTCGGCAATATGTATCTTTCTCCACAACCCGTAGGGATAGTGATGTTGAGGATGACTTGAACCCCCTGTCATTGCCTCGAGCAACCCTGCCTCAACAGCCGAAGAGCCACGCAAGAAGAAGCGTAGGCTAGCGTGAAGCAGCGCGTATCTGGTGCCTACCATAAGGGGTTTTTCGTGTCTGAACTTGTTTATACGCCTAGTGTCATAGCGGAGCACGACTTTCGCAGTTGGGTTGGCGCGACAGAATGAGTGTATGATGGGGTATTTGCCGCCCGTGAGCAGCTGCCCGATATCGTACCAACAATCCCTAGTGATCGAAGCGTGTTCCAACGGCCTGGGCGTCACTGTGTCCGCGATGACCGTAATCTGTCGGATTCTCGCTTGTGCACTGGCAGGAATGGCCTCTAAAAACCTCGCGCATATTGCTTGTGCCGGTGTTGTCGTTCCTGGCTCTTTCATGAAAACCAATTCGTTGTACCGCAGGCTCAAGCCCCTCGTCTCTTGACACAAAAGTCGACAGACGTATCGGAGCTGGTTGAACTCGGCTTTTGGAATTTGGGGGGTCTCTAGAGTGTACCGCGTGTGATACTCCCCTTGTGCGTAGAGTTTGGGAACTTGAAAAGAGCCGTCGTCAGTGTTGATGCTGATGACAGTAGCCAGTACCGGTACTGAGTTGGTGAGAGCGTAGGAGTATATCATCAGTCGCAGTTCGGCC